TATATATATATATCCAGTTCAAATGAGAGTAAAGAAGCTACTAAATTGCACAGAATCGTTTATCCATCAAACAATTTCTACTCACATACTTCGTCATGTTCTGCAGAATATGCTTATAAATCAACTCCATGGATCAAATAATGACAGGTCTATAAATCGATACAGAATTTTCTTCTCTCTTTTTGTAGTTGTGTTTAGTTTACCTCGGGATTTTTTATTTCAAGCTTATCCGAGATTCTTTCCTTGGTATCCCAAAAGCTTGATGGCAAGAGCGCTTTCTGAGAAGGTAGTTCGGCTATGAAAAGCAGAGTTTGTGCCCAACCAGCATATTTCCCGTATTTACTCACAAAAGCATCAGCAACACGGTTGCAAATTTTAGGTGTCAAACGGGTTCCAGCCAGCTCAGGGATAATATACCTAGTTGCAATCTGTCTCCAAATAAAAGAGAAATATTTCAGAATCGGCATCTCAAGATTTATGTCGCACTGCAATTTGTACATTGGAAGGAACATGATTTCCAAACTATGGCTTTGCTATGCCTAAGTTAATCAAGCTACAAGGAATAATGGATTTGTATTTCGACCATAGAAACTAATGTAGTTATTACGGTGGAGATTCTGACCCAAAACTTAGACACTCCATGCCCTCGGAGAGTGCTTTGTCTTAATTAATCGACATGTAATAAGTATGTTGGGATGTTTTACATTGCACAGAGAGATGCAATCTTATGAGTTAAGGCTGCGTGACGAGTTCATTGGGTTGAAGAACTTGCATTCTGTTAATTAAATGTACGTATTTGATTACAACATGGTGAAAGAACAGGAAAATAGATTAATTTCAGCTGTTTGATCATTGCACCCTTGGAGCTAAAGATGGACAGTTCAGAGTCACATTGGAGTTGAAGAAAGGTCAAGATTTTGTGTAACTATAGGACAGTCCAAACTATTGTTCAAGACAATTATCTTAGGATCTTGCTTCAGATTTAATGAAAACAATGAGCAACAGTTTTCCTCAAGTAGATTAGGTCATAACCTGGTGTTTAAGTACTCGCAGTAATAATACGTTCTTCTCTCTATTTCCAGTTGATGATTTGATGTAAATTTAAGATCCAAAGAGAGAAAAAACTATCAGAATCGTAACTAAATATATGATTATATTCAATCTGATTGAAGGATGAGTTAAACTAAGTTAAGTAATGTCATGTAACTTATCAAAATTGCCTATTCTATCGAGGCACTGTGATTTTCGTATAAAACAGAAATGGAAAATTATGCACAAGCAGTATTCCTAACATGTCAGAGCATGATTGGCAAAGTTTAAACTTAAGTTGGTTAAACATACCATTTATCCACACATTTTGTAGGACCAACAACTTACCACCCACTTAGTATCCACACATATTCCATAGGACTCCACGGCTTATGAGCACTTAAACTTTAAAACGCACTACTAAACAAATAAAAGCACGCAAAAATTTTCTGTGGCTGAACTACATTGTTAAGCAACTTGGCACAAATCTTGTCCTGTTTGATTATCAGCGGAAAATATCCAGGCAACCAAGATCTAAACACTTATAAACTCAATCATTATATCAAGTATAAACATTCATGTCTCAAGAAAACAAGTTGAGAAACAATAAATTACAGCCACTATACCAATTTATTGACCTATGATGGAAATAAAGCCCTTAAAAGAAAGATGCAAGCCAATTTTCATAAACAGAACAATCAAGTCCTTAAAAGAAAGATGCATGCCAATTTTCATAAACAGAACAATCAAGTCCTTGAAAACTGACCTGCCAAACATGAGTATCAACGGGAATGGCATGATGTTGATCCAAAGAGAAGAGAGCAATGCATGCTGCCACCTTGGGACCAACACCGGGTAAACTACAGAGCGCATCAATGGCCTCTTGAAGTTCTAATTTACGGAGAGAAGCAAGCCAGTTCACACCTCCACCAGGTTTTGCTCGCAAAGCCGCCACAGTTCCAACAATATATTTGGCCCTGATCATTTTCCCAAGAGAGAACTAAATCGGGTTAACTGAAATCAATGTACCGTTTCAATCAAAATATGTTTCAGCAAGAACCAGATCTCTAGAACAGAATGGCAAGAAAGCACGTAATCAATCATGGAAGATATAGAATAACGTCCTCTGTAGAGTAGCCGATCAAAGTATACAGATGATATCGCAATCTTCAGTTTCCCAAGAATACGTCACAGACAAATGCATACATGTATATATTTTTTCTTTTTTTGAAAATAAACACGCATCCATTTCTCAACTCAAAAGTATATAATAGCAAAGTGACCTCAACAAAAGATAAAATACAAGGTTACTCTACGAATCAGCAATGATAACCTCAACTTCCACCCCAGGTTCAATAGTAATTGAACTATTGAAGTAAACTTCTAACACACGCCAATGGGGCTGAACAGGTCGACCACTCGCTTATGAAACGAACAAATAGCTTCTATTCATATAGTCATTAGATTTGAAAAATCATGAAAATAATCATTAAATTCAAAAG